ATCCACCATAAGAGGCGCATGACGCTGATGCAAAGTAATAGAAGAGATGCCAGTATCTTGAAGTAAATATCATTTTCTGAGGGTTGTTTCACTTTTGAATGGAATTCTTGCTTGCCTATGGTGGTGTCGATTTTAATTTCCTGTTTGGAGTGACCTGTTACTCATATTATGTTTCTGGGAAAAAAGTGATAAATTTCCAGCTTGAAAAGGAATTACGGATCTTTCTCTGTTTTGTTTTTTTTTTAAATGATAGCTTTATTGAGATATAATTCACTCTTTTAAAGTACATACACAGTTCAGTGGTTTTTAGTATATTCAGAGTTGTGTAGTCATCCTGACTATCTGATTTCGGGATATTTTCATCACCTCAAGAGGAAGCCTCATGTCTGTTAGCAGTCACTCCTCACTCTGGTCCCCCCCAACCCCTGGCAAACACCAGTTATCTTTCTGTTCCTATGGACTTGCCGATTATTCCAGATGGTTCATGTAAATAATCGCGTAATATGTGACTGGCTTCTTTCACTTATATTTTCAAGGTTCATCCATGTTGTGTGTGTGTCAATACTTCATTCCTTTTTATTGATGAATAATATGCCACATATGGCATTTCACATTATTTCACCGTTCAGGTGTTGTTTCCATTTTCTGTTATGAGTAATGCTGTCATGAACATGTGTGTGCAAGTTTTTGTGTGGACACATGTTCTTAGTTCTTGTATGTATGCCTAGAAGTGAAAATGCTGGGTCACATAACTATATAAAATGTTGGCGAACTGCCACACTGTTTTCTGAAATGGCTGTTTGTGGGGCGTCCGAGTGGTTCAGTCAGGAAAGCGTCTGACTCTTGATTGCTACCCAGGTCACGATCTCACGAACCCATGAGTTGAAGTCAAAAGTTAGATTCTGCACTGACAGTGTAGAGCCTGCTTTGGATTTTCTGTCTCCCTCTGTCTCTCTCTCTCTCTTTCTGCCCCTCACCCACTTGTGCTCACTTTCTGTCTCAAAAATAAACATTAAAAATAATTTTAAGTGGCTGCTCAACTTTATAGTCCTACCAGCAATGTAGGAGGGTTCCAGCTTATCCACTTGTAACCAGTGCCTGTTACTGTCTGTTATTTGATTTTAGCCATCCTCGTGGGTGTGAAGTGTTCTCTCGTTGTGGTTTTGATTTGTGTTCCCTAATCACAACATCTTTCCATATGCTTGTTGGCCATTTGTCTTCTTTGGAGACATGTCTATTCAAATCCTTCAACTATTTTTAAACTGGGTTGTTTGTACTTTGTACTCTTGACTTGTAAGCGTTCTTTACAGAGTCGAAGGCTTCCTGCTTCTTAAGTCTGTTTATTTCTCCTTTGCTCCAATAGTTAGTCATTTGAGTAAGATAAGTGAACAGTCAATATTGTGTTCATCTGTAACATGATTTGTGTTGGATAAATGCATTTTGTTCCTTTGTTCCCTACCAAAAATTATATAAATAACAGTATATGAAATGTCTTAAGTCACATCCATTTGATACTTTCCTTCCTGCATCTCCTTTCCTCCCTCCATCCCTCCTCCCTCTTTCCTTGTTAGCTTTTTTCCTTTCCTTCCTCTCCCTCCTGTCCTCTTTCCTTTACAAAAGTTTATTTGGTCCCTACTATGTTCTAAGTGCCTGGGTAAAGTGTTACATAAAGCGCCCTCTGGTGCTTACACTCTACTGGAAGAGACAAATGACAAATAAAGAGTTACAGATACACTTAAAATATCATGTGAAATAATATAATGCCAGAGGTGATAAGAGCTATGAAGAAGAACACAGCAAGTGAGTGGACAGAGAGTTTGCTATTTTAGGTGAGGTCCCTGGGGAAGATCTAGCTCAAGTGAGAAGGGAGCCACATGACTGTCCGGGGAGACAGCATTCCTGTCAGAGGAAGGAAAATACTGGTAGTGGCGGACAAGCAGAAAGGAGACCAGTGTGGTCTAGTCTGGGCTATTTGACCAGTAAATGGACAAGTGCTAGCTTTAGCATAGGCATACTTTCACCTAAAAAAGAAAAAAAGCCCTTGTTTCTAACACATATCTAGAATATTTTTAGGGATACCTGAGTGGCTCCGTCAGTTAAGTGTCCAACTCTTGGTTTTGGCTCAGGTCATGATCCCAGGGTTCGTGGGTTCAAGCCCTGGAATTGGGGCTCTGCACTGACGGTGCTGAGCCTTCTTGGGATTCTCTCTCTCCCTCTTTCTCTGCCCCTCCCTCACGTGTGCCTGCTTTCTATCAAAATAAATAAGCATAAAAAAGAGAGAATATCTTTAAGCCTACCTCTGTAAATGGATGGAGTAGATAGCATTCACCATAGAGTGCTGGTGTTATTCACCCACTTTCCCTGTCATGGCTGGGACGGACCTACTTGTTCAGAGGTGCTGATGCGCACAGTGGTTAGGAGCTTGGGCCAGGGAACTTGAGTGTCACCTGTTAGTTGTGTAATTGTCTTATTTTTTTTTTAATTTTTTAAATGTTTGTTTATTTTTGAGAGAGAGAGAGAGCGAGCATGAGTGGGAGAGGGGCAGAGAGAGAGGGAGGCACAGAATCTGAAGCAGGCTCCAGGCTCTGAGATGTCAGCACAGAGCCTGACATGGGGCTTGAACTCACAAGCTGTGAGATCCTGACCTGAGCCCAAGTTAGACACTTAACTGACTGAGCCAGCCGGGTGCCCCTGTCTTATTATTATATATTTTTAACTCAACAAATACGATAAGCTGGGTGACTTACTAGAAATATCTTTCCTCCTATCCTGGAGGCTGGAAGTCCAAGGTCAAGGTGCTGGCAGCATTGGTTTCCTCTGAAGGCCTCTCTCCTTGGCCTGTGGAATAGCTGCCTTCTCTCTGTGTCTTTACCTGGTCTTCTCTATTTTTTTGTATTTTTGTCTTAATCTCCTCTTCTTATAAGGACACGAGTCACACTGGATTAGTGCCTACCCTGATGACTTCATTTTACCTTCATTATCTCTTTGAATAGTCTATTTCCAAATGTAGCCTTATTCTGAAATGCTGAGTAACAGGACTTCAACACAAATGTGTGTGTGTGGGGGGTACAATTCAGCCAATCACAATGGTGAAGATAATAGTATCTACTATCTAGAATTGTTTTGAGAATTAATTGAGATAATACATGTAGAGCCTTAAAGGAGTTCCTGGCACAAGGTGAGTACTATTAAAGTGTGATAAGTAAAAGTATTATTATACTAGTTATATCCAGTCATGCCTACATTGCGAGTTTGTTGAGGAAAGAAAAGTAGAAATTATATCTTTTAATCCCATTATTTTTATTTATTATTTAAAAGAAATCTGCACCTGGAATAATCTTCACCTGTTACAGGTTCTCAGGACATGTTTGCTGAAGTGAAAATTTTCATCCCCGTTGGGGGACATCACTGGCACATCCCTCTAATTATCACTGTTCTTCCCCAACCAGTTCTGCACCCCACCATTCCTCTGCTTCTAGCTGGATCCCAAATTTCACCTCCAGGCATAAAACTAGCAAAGTGGGTTTCCTTTTGCAGCCATAGCATGCTTTTTTATTTTCCTAGAGAGATTTTGGAAGTTCCATTTACATAAAATTTCAATGATTGCCTTGCTTTTGACACATACCAATCTTGCATGCTAGTAAACTTCTAAGACATCAGTTTTCAAACTTGTTACGGAAACAGGCGTGTATGTTTCTTTTTCTGGAATGCAGAGTTGAGCCAAGAGGGAAGTCCCTTTTGCCCATGAGTCTGATACAGTGTTTCTGAAGTCATCATTCTGAGGCAGGGCTAGCTAGGCTTATTTCTTCCTAAATGTTTCACTTATGAGATCCTCAGCCCTTTCATCAAGATGCAGAATAAACTCCAGAGCAACTCTGCCTGGCAACAGAGAACCGACTGTAATCACTCTAAAGGGTGGCGCCTCACGATACTTTTCCTAAAATGTTTTCTTAAAAAGTAAAGGAAAAACTGATAGGAAATTTGAGTTAAGGTCAGAAACAGGTGTTAAAATGTTTCAAAGAGGCCGAGGGATTAGACTATCATAGAGATCAGTGTTAGCTTACTCCCAAAGCCATTTTTATTTTTTATTTCCATCCACATATCTGGTTTGCTGCAAAAAATATTGAGAGGCAATTACCATCGAGTTACATAATTAATTTTCTTTAAGGCATGTAACAATTTTCAAAGAATTCTGTAAACATTTGTTACATTGGAAAAATGAATTTCATCTCCTATGTCCTGACTTTGTTCCCAGTAGAAAAGCCAAGATAATGAAGAGAATAATCTTTTTTTTTTTTTAATGAAGGGAAACACCACTTTTATTTTACGTTGTTTCTAAACACCATTTGCCAACTTTTCAGAATAACATTGGCAATACCCCTTGAATATATATGTTGTGTGTTAATAGTTTTAACTAGCTATTTTCTCCCCCTATAAGTAGCTTTTTAAACTTTGAGCTACAAAATAATGCATAAATATCTGGACTACGAGAACACAAACTGGAATTTGGAAGAACTAGGCTGGCTGATTCATATTGGCTACATGACGATTACATTTGTCCTTTGTAAACTGATTTATTAGGTCTGTGTTGTAGAGTATATTTTATTGTGCTCCAACGCTATGAATGAATTCTTTGATAGTGGCTTTTTGTCACATGCATCTTTCATGGTTCAAGGAACCTAACCTGTTGGAATATTCTCCTGTTGAAGAGTTTGCTTTTATATCTAGTGACATTTATCATTATCTAAGGCCAGCTGCCTGACTTCTCCTCAGTGCTCTGTTTATGGGGTTTGAACATCTATAAATGGAAACACTAGCTAACCAGAAATTATCGCCAGGGCTTTCTGATAGTGTCCTGAGCTCTCACAACTTGGAATGTCCTGCAATATCTAACATGTAAGCACGTCAAATCATTTTCTAGACAGAATCTGAATCTCTTTTTCTGTTTCTCTCTCTCTCTCTCTCCCACTGTCTCTCTGTCTCTCTCATTCTCTTGCAACATGGAATTTGAAAAGCATGAAAAAGGAAGCTTATTAAATGAGAATTTAGAGGAGAAACTGACGGTAAGATGTGTGAGATTTATCACAGATTTATAATGTAATTGACAGTAAAAAAACAACTATCACAGATTGAAAAAGTTGTACTAACTAGCTTGTATTTCCATGTGTTTTTTTTTGTTTTTTTGTTTTTTGTTTTTTCTGGTCAACCGTCTTAAAATTAATGAGTTCATGGGTTTTGCTGAACACAGTGTGATAAAATTATTAATAAAATTTCAGTACTACAATGTGGGCAAAATGGATTTTAGTTGAATGATGTGGTTTACCTTCCTTTTTAAAACCAGAATCTATTTATTTTGAGCCCTTGTTGTGATTGTTCGATACTGGAAGATTATTTCATTAATTGAGATGAAGCTGAGCAAAGTCCAGTTTCTCTCAGAGATATTAGGAATATGTGTAAAGAAAAATATATAAATATCCTAGTCTATTCTAATGTTTTATCAAATAAGTTAACAAACTTCTAGTGTAAGGGTAAAGTCTCTAAAAGTTTTAATTTTTTTGTTATGAAAGTTATAAAACAAGTTTACCTTGATGTTAAGAAATTACATGTCAATGAACAGTAGTGTTCACCTGTTTTTGTTCAAACACAAAATACACCATAAACTTGAATAGTAGAATGTGCTGTTCATGGCTCACCCGATGGGTGTAGGAGGCTAATTATGCTTGTAAATTTACTGTGGCTACGGAGTTAACGTTACAACAGGGCATGGCTAATTTTAACAACAGTACAAGTAGCAAAACGTAAAACTATGTCAACTTTAAGACCGGGACTTCTTTTTTTTTTTTTTAATTTTTTTTTTTCAACATTCATTTATTTTTGGGACAGAGAGAGACAGAGCATGAACGGGGGAGGGGCAGAGAGAGAGGGAGACACACAGAATCAGAAACAGGCTCCAGGCTCCGAGCCGTCAGCCCAGAGCCCGACGCGGGGCTCGAACTCACGGACCGCGAGATCGTGACCTGGCTGAAGTCGGACGCTTAACCGACTGCGCCACCCAGGGGCCCCTAGACCGGGACTTCTGAAAGTCATGAGAATGCATTGTTCTGGATGTTTGAAATAGAGATTTATGTACTCTTAATGATGTTAAATCTTGAAAGAGGAAGAAATAAACCGAGGGTTGAAAATTCTTGAAGTACATTAGAATTTCAAAGCTTTGACGAAATATATTGACTACAATATAACTGAAAGAATTCAGATCATCATGTTAAATATTAGCAGTGGATCTCTGTTCTAGTGGTTGTCTAAACAAGTAATGGCCACTATTTGGCTTTTTGACTATTTTGGAAAACTATGTTTTATTATGAACTAACTGGGGTTTTGAGAGAAAAAGGTCTGGGTGACAGTTCTTACACCACAACTTCAAAATGTAGGACTGTGGGATTTTGTTGTGGCTTCTGAGTCTCTGTTAACTCACTAGTAAGATGGCGAGACATCATACTGATTTGAAGGGTGTCGTGAAGATGAAAAACTATAATGTATGTGGATTCCCTGCTCTGAACTGTTATTTTCAAACTGGTGTAGGCTTGACTTGCTTAGAAAGTACATACCCAAAGTTTATTACTATGGAAAGAGAAATCTGAAATGTGATTCAAAGTAAAAGGAAAACTCAGATATGCTAACCGTCAAGGCTTAGTGGCTGTAAACCCATTATGCAACCAGAAAGAGAGTAAATAAATACATGAGTAAGAGTTGCTATGAATTATTGTGAAATTTGACCCAGAGGTTTTTGGCAATATTTTATGGGAAGTTTTGCAAATACGGTGGATGTGGGGCAAGTGAACAAAAGTGAGAATGGTCTCTTATTTCACATTTTACTTTCTGGAGGGTCAGACATTCTGGATTCAGGACTCTATCTTGAACGCAGGTATAAATCTAAAAGTGAGCAAAAACCTCTCCTTAGAGGAAGCAGCTATCACAAAGTTTATGAACATTTCCCTGGAGGAGAGATCTAGGACCAGCCTCTGATTAAGTTCAAGAAGAGTGGAGGGAAACACGGGACAAATCAGAAGGCATGGGAATATCTAATCTGTACTGAGAAGAGATGGTTCTTGCAGAAGGGGGAACACATGAAAGTTTCGTCGTATGGACAATAGTCTCTATAAGCACACAGAGCTACATCTGTAACTCAGATGTCTTTCAGATAAAGGAATTCTGCCACTGTTAGCAAGAAAAGGTTACCTTATATTCAGTGTCTCTAAGAGAGCAGGAAAATATGTAACATATCTTTGAAAGTTTACTATAGAAATGTGGTTAATCCTGGTATAATACAGTATGACTGGCTAGGTTGCCAGATATAGTTAAAAATGTATTTTTGAGGGGTGCCTGGGTGGCTCAGTCAGTTGGGCATCTGACTCTTCATTTCAGCTCAGGTCATGATCTCACTTTTTGTGAGTTTGAGTCCCGTGTTGGGTTCTGTGCTGATGGTATAGAGCCTGCTTGGGATTCTCTCTCTCTTCCTCTTTCTCTGCCCACACACTATAAATAAATAAATAAATAAATAAATAAATAAATGTATGTATGTATGTTTTTGTAGAGTTCACTAGGTTCTGAAAATTATTAAATTTATTACAAACAGTAAAGTTTGTAAAAATAGGGCTTTAAAAGGAGAGAATATTTTTCTATTAAAATATTTAAACATGGGCCCAGTATAATATTGCTGAATTATAATATGCGTCTTCTTTAAAATGAAAGGTGTACTTCTCATAAAGATCTGTATTATGAACAATGTTATGAAATATATGACACAATTAAGACATTTACATGATTGGCTGAATTTGAAAAAAATTTCCAAGGTGAGATCTATAGCAAATAAGAAAATTAAAAGTCTTACAGATTTTTTTAAACAAAATTTTTTAATGCTTATTTATTATTGAGAGACAGAGACAGAGCATGAACATGGGAGGGGCAGAGAGAGGAGGAGACACAGAATCCAAGGCAGGCTCCAGGCTCTGAGCTGTCAGCATGGAGCCTGACGTGGATCTCGAACTCACAAACTGTAAGATCATGACCTGAGCTCAAGTTGGATGCCCAACCAACTGAGCCTCCCAGGCGCCCCTGGTCTTACAGATTTTTAAAATTCATCAGTTTATTCTACTGAAGGATCTACACAAAAATAAAATAGGATTCTTTACTACATATCCAATATGGATCTCGCCTTATAGGGGGGAGAGAATTGCTACCTTTAGCTATTGACTTTTTTTTTTTTGCCCTGAATTTGTTGCTCTTTGGTGATTAAAATAAAGATTCCTGGGAGCTTGGCAATTAAAGGTGTATCAATAAATAATCAGATAAGAAATATGATACTCAAATCCTTCAAAATGTCCTAAATTTACCAAACCAATCTATTTTTCACAAATTGGTTGATATTATCTCAATTTTTAAAATAATTTTTTAATATTTATTTATTTTTGAGAAAGAAAGAGACAGAGTACGAGTTGGGGAGGGGCAGAAAGAGAGGGAGACACAGAAATGGAAGCAGGCTCCAGGTTCCAAGCTGTCAGCACAGAGCCCCACGTGGGGTTTGAACCCACCAACCGCGAGATCATGACCAGAGCTGAAGTTGGACACTTAACTGAGCCACCCAGGTGCCCCTGATACTGTTCCATTTTTTGACACATGAAAAGAAAAATCAATTACCATGGGCTTAAAAGGACATTTCCATCCCTTGATAAACCAACAACATAGTAAGCTGTGGTAGATATTTTAGTCATCCCTGATTCTGCAAAATCCAAATTATTCTGAAGGTAGTTTTTGTGGGGGTGCAGGGAGGGAGGGAACTATTTTGTAACAATACACTTTTGTTTGGTTGGTTCCACAATAACTGATGTTGGAACTGAATGGATCTTTTGTTTTTTCTGATGAGGCTTGAGTAACTATTGTATCGTGAGTTCCCCAAAGTACATTCCTTAAAATTCTGATTTTCCATACTGCTCCATGAAAAGAGGTTCTAATCTATGCTTAAGAATATTCATGCAACACTGTGTACAGAATGAACTGCACAGTCTATTTCCTTTTGGAGACTCCTAATGTATTTTAACACACTGAAGGCCAGGAGACACTCTGGAGGTTAATCTAGTATTTCTTAAACTCCCTACCAGTGTAATGCATTTTAATGTGTTTACCATGACAATGAATATTCTAACTAGTGTTCTCTAGTTTAGGAAGCGGTGTGTCAGTATATTAATTGTCTGATTTTATTTATGAGTTTCATTTTCAGAATAATGATACACAAAATAATAAATTTAAGCTGGGTATCATTTATATCTATAACATGAGGTTATTTCTGGAATAGTGTTGAAAGTAAATAATTTCTGTTTAGCACATTTTAATAAATAAGTAAAATTAAGGAAGGACATCCTGACTATTTCCTCAAATCTTTTTCTTTTAGATTATTAAACAAATCAACGGAGCATTTAACTTCAACTAAAATTTCTTAATGAAAAGGAACAATTCATGTATTAACAGAGTAGTAAAAATAGTCATGCACTTCAGGGTATTCTGAAATAATGATGGCTCTTTCTCTAACAGATGAAAGCACAAGTAGACTTTACGCATAAATCTTTAAAAAAAATTTTTTTTTCAACGTTTTTATTTATTTTTGGGACAGAGAGAGACAGAGCATGAAGGGGCGAGAGGCAGAGAGAGAGGGAGACACAGAATCGGAAACAGGCTCCAGGCTCCGAGCCATCAGCCCAGAGCCCGACGCGGGGCTCGAACTCACGGACCGCGAGATCGTGACCTGGCTGAAGTCGGACGCTTAACCGACTGCGCCACCCAGGCGCCCCTGCATAAATCTAATAATTTCTATCCCATAAGTATAATATGTCTCAAGAGACAATTGTATGTTTCCAAGTAATAAATGCTCACTAAGTATGACAAATATAATGATAATAAGAAGGGTAAGTCATCCAATTCATTACATGTTGAAGCTTCGTAGAAGCAAAGTAACATAGTAGTCAACTTCTGAATGTCATAAATATTGCTTTTTTGAGTAAAAAAAAATATG